TATACTTATATGTAAATTTAAACTAATAAAAATATATTAATTAATGAAAAAGTAAATGAAACCAATTAAAGAAAAAATTATATAACGTTTATATAAAATGAAAATTTCAAAATTTTAAACTTCACTTTTATATTATTGACGAACAAATTTCATTTACCACATTACTGTAATATCCAAATGAATGAAATTTTCCATTTTTTTTAAATCACATTACGAAAATATATACTACATCATGTTTTTATTACATGAAGTTAAAATAATTTGGAAAGTTAAAAAAATGATAATAAAATTGCGTGTTTATAATTTGGATAATTTACAAAATCGACATCTGCATATATGATGGAATACTTATATGTAGATATGTACTTAAATATTTGAATACTATTTATAAAATAAAAAATTTAGAACTTGCCATTATAGAACAAGTAGAAAACAGTCAACAAAAAGAAACAATACAACTAAATTAACAAAAACTGGAAAAGTGTAGACGTTTTTTCCATATTAATATGGTGTTTACAGCCCTATACATATGTTTAGGAGGGTTTGGAGAAAAAGTTTGGAATTCGATCGATTAGTTGAAAGGTTGATACAAAGTAGAGTCAATAGCATACGAAAATAATATTGTTATATATGTTTGAAATTGCAAACTCTGTCACTGAAAAAACTTGACGAAATCTAAAATGAAATACTGGTAAGAATATTCTATTCATTGCATAATAATAACTCATTGTATGCATTATAAGTTATTTATATTTTTTAATTATTTTGTTATTGATCTTACACACGAAAATTATAGAAAGTAGATAGGGGCATTAATAATTAATACCAATAGTCAAAAGTCGGAAGTAACGATTGAAGGATCAAACAATCACATTTTATGAATGTAAGATTTTTTTTTGTTAACCAATTTATAATGGTCAGGTAATTTAATGGTTTGTCATAAAAATGTTATAGACATTATGTGTAATATTTAGAAATAGTGTTTCACAACATTATTTATAGTTTTCATGAGGGTATAACATCAAAA